AACATATCCTTTTTTTTTTTTTTAATTCTCTTTGCCTAATACCATTTCTCTTTTGCCACAGTTTGCATTTACATTTGAACAGTAGTAAATCAGACTAAAAAGCTAGTGCACATTTGTGACTTAAGATTGCATGCACAGAACATATTTTTATTTACTCTATATTAGCAAGGCAAAAAATTCTAGTTTATTAGCAAAAAAGCAGCCTGCATTTCCTGTTGTTAATAGGTTTGCATAAGAAGCATGAAAGCAGTGAGGTACATAGTAAATGCTCCTCCTCTGTCCTAAGGATGAGGTGTTCAGCCACTGAAAAGTTTTAAGTTGTCCTCTGAGGTTACACATACTCTGCTTTCTGCATCTACTTTTAGTTGGGGGGGAACTCTGGAAAGTTTCCTGTTAGCCCTTTTCTGCCTCCTAGGGGAAAAAGTAGTTGTATGTCAAACTATAAATTGCTGGAAAGCCCTTGCTGAGTGCTGGTATACATACAATGTAGGTCCCTTGGGGACTTTAAGTCAACTCAATGACCTATAGCTGCATGCACTGCATTTCTTTAAATATTTTTCAGGGCTGCTACAACTACATTGGCAGATGATGTAGAGTGAGGGTTTGTACATTGGCTCGCTATTCTTAGGGAGTGTGGGGAAGGGAGCGGGGAGAGTGTCTCTCTGCCAGTCTATTTTGCTGAGGCTTCTGGACGATCAACCAAAACTGATGTAAAAGTTAGGCTCTCCTGTTCCGATTAAAGTATTTCACTTAATAACAGTGGCACTCACATTGTTGGCAAAAGGTTTAATGTTTGCTCTGCAGAAAACACCTTTTGAATGGGGTTACGAGGGACAGAAGCCAACATAGAAGCCTTAATCCTGAACCACGGAAGTCTATGAGAATTTTGCTGCTGACAGCAGTAGCCCACTGAGACCGTGAGCAGCACTTTCAAGTTTTCATATTTCAAAATCTGTCAAGTTTAACCTCCATTTCTTATAAGTCAACACATAGCCCAAACATAAAAGATACCAAAAGTGACATATAGACTGGTACTTACATACCTACTGATTAGATAAGTCCCCACCAATGGTACATTCACCTGGAGTCTTTACTTTCATGAACAGGGATTTGCAAAATCAGTCTCTTTGACTCTTCTGAAAGACTACTACGATACTAAATTCCAGTCCACAGGAAGACACGGTAGTGGCCAAAATGGCCAGGAATATTGGTCCATGAATAATATGACACCAGACATCAGAAAGGATTACAAAGGTTTGGAAGTAGTCATTATTTTTCTTTGCAAATTAATCGTATTAAAGCATTGCATTACCTTGACTCTAAAAGGCTTTTAAAAAACCCTTCTCAGATACAAGGTCAACTGAGAAAAGTGGAGAAAAAAGGGGTTTCTGAGGTTAAAAAAGGGATGTCTCTGAAACTCATGGGTTCTGATGAAATAGCTTGTTCGAGAAAATTGAAACATGCCTTTCATGGTAAGCTCCATTCAACAGGAAAGCTTCATTCCCTCTAAAGGGGTTAGACTGCCTTGCCAAGGAGGTACTCAGATATTAATATTTTTTAATTAATGCTCTAGGATATTCACACAAAGACACAGATATTGACTACAATGTGTGAATATTTTTAATTGGAGGAGACTATGCCAACTGAGGCACAAAACTAGTAAAATCTGTTCAAAATAATAAAAACAATAATAAAGAAAAAGGCTAGAGAGGAAAAAAAGCCCCAAAAAGAAAACTATTTAGTTAAAAGAGACCTCCCAGGGCTCTGGAACTAACGTAAAGGTAGAAAAACATGAACATTATCATGACCATCACGGATGCTGTTCAGGGACACAGGGATCTCAATGCCACGGAAATAGCAGTTGTATTCAAGACTATTTTGCATGAGTCACATATAAATGAAGGTGATTCAGATTTGGGGAATGTAATGATCCACAGCAAATCATACGCCTGTTAAAAAATGCATATTGCTGTTTATGATGTAGGTAGGCAATGGAAATGTAGAAAAATTAAATGCCTTTTTCTTACGTCTAGAAAACAGTGACTTAGCCCCAATTGACCAAAACACTTAAACACGTGCTTCGTTCCTACCCACTTCAACATAAACAATTTTCCTAGGAAAATGAAGACCAAAGGTTTCTGGTAGATTTTCCCCCTGGGGCTATTTTCCCTCTTCCGTGTCTTGTTACTTGATTTTAAATCTCATTTTAGGATTTTATATTATTTTATTTTTCCCCTTCCCTCTCTTAGGCCCCCAGTCCTATAAACACTAATGTGTGCTCTTAACTTTAAGTATGAGTAGTCCCAAGCAATGGGATGTCAAAGAGAAAAAGTGATGTGCCCAAAGCTAAGCAGGTGTCTAAGTACTTGCAAGTTGTAAGTCCTAGATCCACAAAAGGGCTTTTGGTGCCATTGCTCAGCACTGCAGCCCCTAACTTCTGGATTCTCTGCCCTTAGTGGAATTCACAGTCCGGATTTAGGCACCTCAGCTACCTCTACAAAGCGGGTGACGTGATCCTCAGAATGAGTGCCCTGAGCTAAGTCATTAGCAATGCCAAGGAGAGTGGTACTGCTTAAATTTAAAGCACTGCCTCTCGAAGAGCTAGGCACTAAGGGTGTGCAAAGTGGGCCCTATTCAATTTGGATTCGGATTCAGCCCAAATTGGGGACAGCTATTCAATTCGTTGATTCGGATCACTATCCCCAATTTGATTTGGCCGAATCCGAAACTGAAGATTCGATGCTGATTCACAGAATCAGCAATTCAGCCATAGACACAGCTTTAAATGTTTTTTCTACATACCTCGAGGTACCAGCATGGCTTGTGAACTCTGCAATGCTGGGGTGGATGGAGCGTCCCACAGGAGTGTGGGCAGACCACCCGCCCCTCCCCCCCGCCCCATGCTCAGCAGTGAACCCAGAAGTGGACCAGGAGTACTTCCAGTTCACTTCTGGGTCCACCAGGGAGCATGCCAGGGGGCCCCCCGTTCCCCTCTGGCTCAGCAATTGGCTGCGGGGGGACCCCGGGTGCCCTCCCAGACCCAGGAGGCACCAGTTGCCGATCCAGGAGGATGCAGGGGGGCCCCCCAGTGTGCTCTCCGATGGACCCAGAAGTGGACTGGGTTCGCTACCAAGCACGCTGGGGAGTCCCCCATGCTTCTGTGGGATGCTCCATCCACCCAGCATCGCAGCATTCATGGGCCACTTGATACCTGGAGGTATGTAGAAAAAACATTTAAAGCTGTGTCTATGCCTGAATTGCCGAATCTTTTCAAATCAATTCAGAGGGTTCCAATTCGATCCGGAGAGATTAAAGGGTCCTCTGATTCAATTCAGATTTAGAGATTCGGCCACCAAATCAGGCCAAATCTTCACTGAATCAAATCAGCAACCAAGGCTTTGCACAGCCCTACTAGGCACTTAAGTCCACTTGGGATTCACAACTGTGAATCCTCTACTAGAGTCAGAGATCCAAGCCAGCCATTTCTCATCAAACATGGGAGGCACTGTACCCCGCTTTTGTCCAATAGCTCAGTATTCAACCCTCCTATCAAGCTGTGCCACTCTACACAAAGTAATTAAATATTCATTGGGATAGAGAATGATTTTTATGGCTGAGTGATTCGAGCAGAGATCTGGGCCTTATTACATGCCCCTAAATGTATTTTGGACTAAAACTCACAAATGTATCTCTCCTGAGTGAGCAGCATCATAACTAGGCAACAAAGTTGCACTCACTCACTTCCCTTCTTGCCTGATGAAGAGTCTTTTATTCTGAGCACAATAGTAGAGTTTCAACAGGAAGGGCCCAAATATTCCATGCCTCTAAACTTTGGGGTCTGAAAACCCAAAGGGTGGAAAATGCAGGTTCAAATCCCCTTCAGGCAGAAGAGGGCTTGGAGCCAGATCTCAGTTGAGTGTGCCAACCATGAGGCTATGGGAGAAAGGGGGCAGCCCTACCTCTTCCTTGTGGTGGGTTCTCTGTGGGGGCCGATTCAGTAGAGGTGCTCTGAGAACGGATGCTGGACCTGGCCCTACAGCTGGTTAAGGTGGATGATCCTAAGGATCTCAACAGGATTTAGGCACAGGTTAAGTGCTTAGCTGCTCAGCATTGTCAAAACTTGGGAACTTTTCCATAAGTTCGGGGACAAACATTTAGCCACCACTGGTATAGAAATAAATGCCTATGGACTTTAAAACGTGGCTGAGCACAGGTTCTGGGGAGCTGAGTTTGACATAGGCAACTCCAATAACAGTTTGGCTACATTTATGCATCTGTGCCCTTTTGCAGATCTAGCCCTCAGTGCCTTAGATGCTGAAGGTGAGGGAAGCACTAAACATTTCACTGAGGGCGTGTAGCACCTACAGGATTGGACTCTTCAACCTAAAATAAGATAGGTAGCACAATCCTTCTCACTCAACATCACGTTCAACACCAACAGAGAAAACAGTTAATCTGTTCTGGCCTTGTAGTACCATTTTCTGTTTTCAAGGTTAGAGTATGAAAGACAAGGGTTTTTTTACCCCATAGGCTTTCACTCCCTTTATTTTGTTGAGCTTCTTCTAATTATTCAGAATAAAACCCATAGGAAAGCCACAAATGCACCCAAAGTATCTTTCCTTTTGAAATCATGGGCGGTCATCTTAAGAAGCCATCACTTAGACACTTCCTGACAAGTTTTCACTGTGCTTTTGTAATGCTATGTCTTTCTTGTCAGTGCAATTCAAATCTCAGATTGTGATGGACTTCAATAGCACATTACCTGAATCTACAACATTAGCCATGAAAAAAGCACTCTTTATTGTACTACTATAAAGAAAAATTATTTAAAAAACTAGGCAGCCTTATTCTTTTTCCATTAATCATTATTAGTTGCAACACTTTAATAAATGCAGATAAGCACAAATTGTTGCTAAGCATTTTTCTCAGTGAGTAAATAGTCCACATTTCATTACAAACCAGATCATGCATTATTTAGTAAAATTACAGTAAAAAAAGAGCAACAAATTAAACCATCGCATAGAAATTTATTCCTTGGGAGGGATGCTTAAAATTCATTCAGAACACTGGATAGCAAAGAAATGTGGTCAAAAGAGAATTTACAGAAATGTTGAGATGCTATCCCAAGCACCTTAGTATACAAAAACATGTATTTCTGCAAAAACATATATTGATATGAAATGTAGAAACAAAATCTGGAATATGCACATAGGGGATACAGGATCTTAAGGGTCAAATTTTAAAACATTAGAAGTGAAAATGCATAGAATCGGCTTTAACCAAATCCACACAGGAAAATGTTATCCCAGTGCAGAAGGCCAGCGCATGCCTGGGTGGTATTTAAGCATCACTAAGGTCCATAAGGCAATAAGTTTCCATGGCACAAAATTTAAGAAAAAGTGTTTCTTCCTTAAAATTGTTGTGCCAACTTTATGACATATGGTGTGCAGAGGCCTTCTTAAATTCACCAATAAAGAAAGATATCCAGCCAAATAGTTCTTGACAGTCTTGTTCTTGTGGCTCAGCAAATTTTACCTGCAAATTTGAAAGAAAATACACTAAATTGTTAGCAATATCAAAAAGTAAGATAACCCACGAAGGGTGTGGGAGGGAGGAGAAGAGGGTGGAGGTAGAGAAGGAGTGAGAGAGAGAAGTTAAATATGCATTCACTATTACCACTTATACTACACCAACAATAGGAAAATGGCTCCAGTGCAATTGCAGCCATCTTCTGTAGGCGAGTAGGCACCAGTCTCTCTCCCTCTCTATCTCTCTCTCTGCATAAGCCACAATGGGAAGACAGTCTGATCAGGAAGGCCAACCCGTACAAAACAACGAGTGGATGAGGCAAATAAGCCACATCCCCTAAGGTACTTCAGCAGTGTATCCAAATGAGAATCTTCCAGTTATTGACCCCAATATTTCAGCTTTCAGGTATTCAGGTTTTCAATCAAGTTTCAAAATTGTCTATGGAAAGCAGATGCCTGGAGGAGAGAGATTTCCTGTATACAAAAACCAATGTTTTCATTCAAAAGCCATGTTGATGGAAATCTCTCTTCTTTTTTTTCTACCAGGCCTAAAGATAATCCACATCAGGTTCACTCTGCGAGAGAACAACTACTAAAGCAGAGAGATTATAAAGTCCAGTGCTCGGAAAGGGATTCCAGGCTCAGATCTTCTACAGCCACTTTCATACAAGTCCTCAAGCCTCAAGGCATAAGAAGTTTCTAAATCAGTTACTGGGATTTAATTAAAGAGGTTTTTCATCATTTTCAAGGGCAGCACCTTAATGTGACCAATAAGCTAAAGGATATATGGTGTTAGAATCAGCTCCCTAATTGACCAGGAAAAATCCAGAGAACACACTTAAAAAGCTTTAATAAGAAGTTTAAAAAGGCATTTTGTGATCTTACACGTCCTTATCTTGTCTGTAATTGAAAGCTACAAAGTAATTGAGGGCTACAGCTTTCCCAGGGCTGAATACTACCGTATTACAGACAGACAGAATGGATTATTTGAATTACTTGTCCAAGTGATTAACAATTTCCTCTCTCTATTTTATCATCTCCCTCAAATCATAATCACCTGCACCACTTCCTACATACCACCATGCCTAGCACCTACAGCCACTCAAATATAATCCATATACAAATAAATGTAATATTATCCCTTAGTAGCTAATCAAAAGTTCTGACACTGCGTTCCTACTTGTACCTCCCTAGGTGCTAAGAGCCCGTGGTCTTTGGACTATCTCACAACTTACCTGGGGTCGATGGTTACTCACTCAATGAGTGAGGAAATTTCTAGAGCTTAAGACCTGCTCTGGGAAGAGCTACAGGGAGTGACCCCTAGTTTCTCATTTATCCAACAGAAATGCCACATGTTGAGGACATTATTGATTTCATAAGCAGAACATAATAAAAATAAGCCTATAGATTTTTATTTTATGGATAATAGTGTCTATTGGTACCTATAAGGTACTTTCAAGTCATGTATTCCCTGTAAATTAGGCAGGCGTATTGCTTACTACTGCTGTTCACTTGATCGTCTGGCATTTGTGCATATACTACTGTGCATTTACTTCTCTGTGTTCTCGTCACTGTCCTATAAATGTACATCCTGGATTAAGACGCTCTAGAAAGAAAGTTTTGCTTTCCCAAACAGAAGGAAAAGAACAAGCACACATTTTTTAAAACAAAAAAATGATAAAACCACAAACCAACAACCAACAAGTCAACCTGGAGCCACTTTCAGTCCCCATGGAAGGGCCTGAGCCAGCTTTAAGTCTGTGGGTCTCTTACATGGGGGATGGAGGGGGACAAAGAGGTGGCTCACTGGAGTGTATGCAGGTCAGATCCAGATTGGGGGTAGGAGAAGCAGGTTACAGACAGCAGTCCTTGAACCTGTCACTGCTTCTATACTACAGCTTGCCAAAGGATGACAATCCAGGTTTGTGGCAACTTCTGAGGCTTAAGGTTTGGTCCCCCTCCAGCACAGCCAATGGAATGAAACGTTATCTTAAACAGTTCAAAAAAATGGAATTATTTGTCAGATCTCTTTTGGGGCTGTAGCCTAAGATTTCTGATTCTGGCTGGGGCACATGGGAAAGGCAGGTTCAAACCCCCTCCCTTGCTTGATTCAAAGAGACTTTAATCCCAAATCACTCTGAACCAGACACAGGAGAGACCTGAATCTTGAGATTCTGGTATCTCCAGACATTTTGCTAAAGAGATTCTGACCAGGTCTATTCAGGAGCAACTCAAGCCTAAATTATATGTTGAGGGTGAAGATTCGTCCCTACTTTTTCTATTTTGCTGCAGATGCCGGACTGACTCCTTGGGTATGCACTATAATTCAGATTTGCCTTGCTACACAATGCTGAGCATGCTCTCCTGTTTCTAAAAGGCTACAAGAGACACTGGGAGACCTTTGTACATTGTTATAATGTTGCATTAGTAAAACATTTTAATTAATATGTCCCTGGTCATACATCACTTTAATCTTCTATTCCTACTCAGATCAGGTCCCTGGAGGTCTCTCCCAAGCTTCATAATGTTCTGCAACATTTTGCTGTACTGCAGGATGATACAGACTCTCAGTGTTAAGCATTTCTACGCACCTAATTTAAAACCCAAAAAGATTTAGGGGTGTGACCAAGTGCCCTGAGCATGGGACCAGGAGAAGCTGGGATGTGTAAATCCCAAACTAATGCTAAACATGCCTTTGCCCACAGGTGATTCACCAAACCTAGCTCTTTTCTTAAAATCTCCTGGTGTTGAGTAGACTATTCCACATGTCTTAATGAATGGCTGAAGTGCTGCTGTAGGACAGCCACTGGTCTTTTTACCACTGTTATTATCCTCTAACTGAATTTGGAACGAGCCAGTAATCTCGGTGGTAAAAATGTCAGTGTGTGACACCAGTCTTCTTGGTGTTGCTCTTAATCCCAGTGTCTTCCCAGTATTTGGGACCCAGCGGGGTTGTTTCTGCTAGGAGGAGGAACTGAAGGCAGAGTCATTCATTGTTATTCAGTCCTCATTGTTTACAAAAAATAATTTCATATGTTCTGTTTCCCTGAACACAGGAGGAAACAACACGATACGTTGTCCTTGCTGAGACATTCAAGCCTGCTTTCTGATTATTTTTATGCCCAAATTGCTCTTCCCTCGCTCATTTTTCAGGGGCAACCTACCAGCTTGTCTCCTAGTTTTTCTGGGTCTGAGACAAACAGCTATAAACAAATCAATCCTCCACCCTGTGTTCAGTCCACATGGCCCAGCCTCTGCCCTGGCCTTGGATATAATCTCAGACCTTGGATGACAGCTTCTGTTTTTTCAGCTATCACTAAAGAAAGGTCATTTAATTGCCCTCTCCTTTAGCCTAACTGGAAGGTGGCTGTCACACTGGGCAGCTTCAACAAGGCTTGGCTATGGATCAACAGACATGCTTGCTGCACCAAATGCTGGGAATGCAACTATAAAAATGGAGCTGAACTGGAGACAGCACAATAGCAGATTTTTTTAATGCCATTATGAGCACAGCCTTAAACTTTCTCCTTTATTTCTGCTCCGCTCACCCCCCACTACACCCACCCCTGTACTGCTGAGATAATAACTTGGTATACTTCATATAGGTCCTATGAATCTTCACTAATTTTTGGAAAACTCTGAGGATGAAAACATTTTTTTATACATGCTAAATATTTACTCATTATGAACTTTTAAACCCAACTGTTATAGCAGATAACACAACCTTAGTTGTTTACAACAACTTCCAGCTTTAACAATCCCAATAGCAGCAACTGATTTTTTCATTTCTCTGAAGCAGCAAAATTGACTGACCCTATTATAGCAAGTTCCTCTTTTAATGAACTTTTCTTCCACTCCCATGGGGATTTGTTATAATGAGGCTGTACTGTACTTTTAAAAGTACCAAGCACTTTTATTTCTATTTGACATCAACGGGAGCTAGAGGCACACAGAACCTTTGAAAAATCAGACTCTAAACTGTCAGAGAAACTAGCCAAATATTAATTCAAGCCATTCTGCTACTGATCTATGCAAATGTCAGATGTGGAATTTCTTATCAGAGTTGCACATAAATTCCTCTATATACAAGGAGAAAACTTATATATAAGATGTGTGGGTTGCATTTACAGAAGACTGTATTTTTTAAAAGAAGCTATTTTTTTTTTAATGTAGATTTCATTCAATTATGTTTTAACTTAGTATGTACCAATGTGTCACTATAAAGCTTCTTCATTTCATCACATCTTTTTGACAGCTGGGAAAGGTTTCCTTCATACTTCTGAATTAGATCCTGCAGTAAAAAAAAACACAAATCCACAATCTTGAGCTGACACAGGAATATAAACTTGAAGAAATACTCAACAGCAGTGAGGTAATTCATTGATAAAAAGAAAAAGAAAACAGGTCAAATTTCCCAAATGCCATAAGGAATACGAGATGTACAAAATATAGGCATCCTGTCAAACTCCTGTCTTTGAGCTCAATGACCTAATGCTGAATGAGAGAACCTCATAACTGGAGGCCTCTGGATTTGGCTCAATAATGTTATGTAAGTCCATTAAAAATTTACAGAATTAGAAAAGGAAATTAAGAACGACAGAACCATGATTTTAGAGGATTTGTCATCTTGTGCTTAATCACCCACTCGTACAGAGGTGACACACTCTAACACGTGTAAATGCAGATGTTAGTGCATCATAAATGGACGTGCCCTCTGCTGCAAGTCACCAATGGGGAGGCAGAGTTTGCAAATAAGTCTTTAAAAAGCTACATTTTGAAGTGGGGGAAGTTTCCCAACAGCTGTTCTCTTCTAATCAGTTTTATTAGAATGATGAAACATGATTAGAATCATTTAATATTGATCAAGGAAAGAAGGGGCTTCATCAGGAGACTACATCTGCCCTGTCTAAGGGAGAGCACTGCTGTTGGGTTACCCCTGGGGAAGGCAGGTGGAAATTAGTGACTTGGACAGTCAGCAGTCTCTCTGCCAACCTTCCTGCTGTTTGGGGCCAGAGAAAGTGATGTCAGGTTTATACCAGATTCTTTAACGTACTGCTTTAGCAAAACCAGCATGTGACTTGTGGAGTTGAGAGGGTTTGCCCGCTCCCCATCCTTCCCAGTCTGCCTACACAGGAGGGGAAAGAAGAGACATGCAGCTACTTATAGCTACTTATAACATGGAGTAGTCATCAGAGAGAAGTTAAACTCACTTTGAACCTCCAGATGCCCTTGGGCTTCCCACCAGGCTCTGACTCAGCCCAGACCAAAAACGTCTTACATGTCTTACTCCTCATTTATTTGCAGTCCAAGGTGAGTTTTTGATAATACATTACCTTTAGTTCTTTGCAGAACTGAGAGTCACGGGTTGTTGCCTTGATTGTCTTAGGTTTGATAAGCCTTCTGCACTGAATAACATTTTCCAATTCCTTTTTTAAAACTAACCACAAAATAGAAAAGAAATGAGACATTTCTTAAGTTTAAAAGACAGCCATGCCTCATGGAAAAAATAGGTATTCACAGTTCTGTATCAGGTTTATATACATGCTGCATCACTATACTTTTAATTAAAATCATGGGCCCATCCTGTGTCCTGAAATAGGCACGGCTCCTACATTAAAAAAAAAAAGTCTGCAAATAGGTAGTGACCACATCATAGCAAAAGGAGCAGAAGTAAGATTGCATAGGCAATCATCCATCTGGTGTTTCCTAGCATTTGTGTATCTTGCTTTGCAACCTAAATAATGTTCTCTTCAGCTATGTTATTTTAAAAGAAAAAGGCAAAACCAAATTCTATTATGTGCACCAGTTACAGCCTCCTCCCTCACCACACAAGCCTGAGCCTCCAGTACCAACAGTACCAATGGGCACCACTTGAGTTACAAGCCCAACTCCATTAGCTGGCAGCAGGAGAAAGCTATTATCCCAGAAATGAAATGGAGTATTGCACTGAGGGGCTGGCCAGTTCAGCCCTCTTTCTCCCACCCTTTCTCAGGTCTTATCTTCCCTCTAGCCCAGTGGTTCTTAACTTCATTAGTTTCAAGGTACCCCTTGCTAGACTCAAGGCACCCCTGAAAAAAAATGCCAGTTCTTTCTTAGCTTTCATGCACTATTTGAGTCTGGAAAAATAATAGAGCAATTCTTCTGTTGCAAAGAACTCAGAAAGATCACAAGAAGTCAAAATGGTTTGGATGTTATGGATTCCTATTTGAAATCCTTGGGTTTGTCTTGTCAGTCATACATATTACGCAGGTGTTTGCACACCTAACAGTGCTAACCCTGAGTGGCACCCATAAAAGCATCTCATGACGCTCTGGCTGAGAGCACTGCTCTAGACCCTCCCCAATTCTATACTGCATTTGGCCTACCACGGTTTGCTCCTTACCATGGTTTCAGTAGGGGTACATTCCCATTTACTGAAGGATGCCAGCGTAATTCAAACAACTTCTTCAACTTCATTACTTAACCATACTAGGTTTTCCCTTGCCTCATTGAATGCCTCCTTGACTCAGTTATGGTAGTAATGTTGATAACACACCTGTATCACTTAACATCTTCAGTTTAAAGCAAACTTAATGGATTTCTCTATTTATCACGGCCAGTAATTTTTGATAGTTTATTTCTAAACCACCGGGACACCCTTATATATTTCTTTTTAAAATTCCTCAGAGTGATGTGACAGGTTAAATATCACCATAGCAACACCTTACCTCAATATTTTTGAACCTTTCCCTCTCTTTACAAACTACAAAATGAGCGCAATGAAAACCCGTTCCAAATGACTGCACAACGCATGAAAGTCTTCTGTGAATTTAGAAACCATATTTACATACCATCAACTTCAGCACTGAGACCTTTGATGGAAGCTGGAAAGGAAGAGAATCAGGAATGGGGAGAGAAAGACATTAAGAAATATCATTCACACTATGTGAGGGTGGGGGTTTCAGCAAAAGGGTTGGGTTGGTTTTTTTTTTATCTTCTTACCACCAGGCACAGCTTCAAATTCTGTCAACTCCTGAGGAAATTTAGCCAAATCAGGCTCATGTAAGAAGATCTGTTCCACAAGGGCATGAAGCAAGGTGATTGCCCTCTCCTTCCCCCGCAACAGAGATAACTACAAATAGAATACAGCAATAATTGACAGCCGAGGCTATTATACCTTTTTAAAAAATTGAAACAGCAGGGATGTTGAAAGCTCCTAGCTAAACTTGACAAGAATAGAAAACACAATAGAGTTAAACGTCTTCTCAATCTGCTATTCCACATACAATTCCTGTTAAACTGAACTTTTCATTTTCTAGTATCCCCAAACCTTCCCTGATCCTTTGTAGCATCTCCTTTGCAGGCATTTCTTTTTTAAAAAACTTAAAGCATCTTAATTGATTGCAATTGATTTTGCACCTCCAAATATGCTGTTGCTTCCAGTGCCATTTAAAAAGGACTATGTGGTGTTCATGTAGATAGTACGGTCCCTTAATCGAATCTGGGAAGATGCTCTGTGGCAGAAAATGATTTTGTAGACATTTTTCATTATGATAGATGTGGTATTACAGCAGCTATAAAAAAAATTCAAACTGTGTCTCAGAATTGTCACTAGCATTATAAATCACTCACTCATATAGTAAAGTCTCCAGGGGAAAAAGAAATCTTTAAAAATATAAGAAAAACCCCAAACACCTCTTCTATTTACAGACCAGCCATAATTTGATAATATTCTTAGAGGTTCAAGGCAGCATAGATAATCTGTATTCATTTCTTAATTCTGGGATCAGGATATCATGCTCTGTTCTGCTGAGTGGAGGAGGGGAAAAATTGTGCTTAGTGCCAACATATTCTGATGGCAAATCTTGAGGAGACAGAGAAGGATGTTGCTTTGCAAATGATGGAAAATTCATTCTGGTTGCCATGTAAATGTTAAGTACAACTCTTTAAGAGCCAAGGGCTAATACTGTTCCAGAGCAAGCATAAGACAGGGAGAGGAAAGATGCCTTTTCCTTATAGCATAAATATGGCTGCGGGAACTGGTTGCACTCCAGAATGGTCGGCAGGTTTGAATGGCCCTTTCTGGATGAATCAACACGGCATAATCCTGTTACCCATCACCTTGGGTCTCCTGAGGAGCCAAGCCGGGGAGCAGATTGCTTACTCTGCAGTAAGCACCCCTAGTAAGTGCACTTCTGAGACTACCAGGCACCATTGCTCACAAAGCGCATCACCCACCCAGCTCAGCTTTAACCAACTGGAAGGACATAACACGTTTGGTACAGTTGCCAAGGCTCACTATTCCTTTTATCTTTGATCTATTACTTGTAAAACAGTGCCTTAAAATTATATAGCGCCATTTGCTTCCAAAGGACCTGAAAATTGCTTGAAGAATATTAAAACTGTACAGAGAAGCTGCTTCACCTACCGCTGAAATGCAGCCATTGGAATACTGCAGCTGTTTCACAGGGCTCAGCCCATGGCACAGGACAAGCTCTGCGGTACTTTATGGGACTGAAACTGCAGAAGGCAGCTTAAACAAGCTGGAATCTAGCCATGAGATGACTGCTGACAGTCCCCTCCTCCTAGCCATAGACTCTTTTCTATCACGGGGGTCTGTACTTCAGTTCTACATCTCCTCTGAAGGATGGCATCTTCCATGCCTCTAGCACACTGCTTAAGCACTGTCATGTACTCTGGGGAAAGCCTCAGGTTAAAACACATTAACTAACATGATAATAAATATAATTCTGCCACTGCTGCAACCAAGGACAGATGGTCATAGCCACTAGCTAAGACATTTTAAAAAATGACTGTCATTGTCCAGGCAATGGGCAACACCCTGCATCCCATGATATCAGCTAGTGTGCATTGCAACACAATGTTTTCAATGCAAGGAAAAAGGATCGACTCACTTTGGTCAAAGATGACAATCGAAATCCCTTGGCCTTCTCTCTTCCAGCATTTTCATTTAAGTAGTTCCCAATAGCTAAGATGTACTCTAACACAGCGACAAAGCTCTGGCTGACTTGCAGCTGTTTGCATGCTCGGATCTTCTGGCTTATTAGCTGAAATACAGAAGCCTTGCTCAGCTGGAATGGTTACATTGAAGTCTTTACCCTCCTTTTAGAGCTCCAACTGTTTTACCCTCCTTGTCAGTTCTAACCATACTGCAGAAAACGGGTATTGCTTTACTTGTTGTAAACCAATTTTACATTAAATCTCTCTTAGAGGACAGGTCTGAGCTTTTCATCAAGACCCCATTAAAATTTCTCCACCAAGACAGAAGGAGCATTGGCCTCATGCTTTCAAGTCATCCCTGCCAAAGGGACTTGCACCTTGACTCTCAAATGTTTTTGAAGAACAAATAATTTGCAGTTGGAATTAACAGACTGCACAGTCATTAGAGACAGTAGACAGCCTGGGCCCAGTAAAGGTCTATATCCTTCATCCACTCTGGCCCCTCTTTAACTATACCAACTGAGCTACATGTTTTCTTCCCAGGAAAAAAACAGAAAAGTAATACTTTCAAACAGTTGACTTGACAGTCAGTGTGAGTCTAGTGAAACTACCTCCCTTGTAGGATTCAAGTTACAAGTGAGGTCTGCTTAAATCAGGAAAACAAGCAAGCAAATAATCTAGCTTAGGGCCTTTCTTGCACATGCCACCAGCATAGCTTAACATAGGGAAAGGGTTTAACATAGGGAAAGTGAAACGTGGGAAATAGGAAAGCCCTTTAAAAATTACTGGCAGCACATCAGAGAGGTCCGCAGGCTCCTGGAAGAAAATAAATGAATGATACACTTGTACATCAGGTAAAATAATTCTATACAATATGCATAGATGTTATTTGGCCCAAGTACTAAGATATCTTGGGAGATAATGTTCTACACAATGAATAACAAATACCCTTGATTTTATTGTAAAGCAAAGCAATCATTATTTCTTTGTCCTTACATAGGCACAATTATGTGGTGTCAGTGTGGAATAGAAAGCATGTTAACAGTGAGATATACAGGGTCAGAAATGTGTTCACTGCCCTCTGTCTGTTCCTCTTTTGCCCTCTGTTCACTGTTCAGATGGCTTCAATTAGAGCTGACCAGGAAACAATGACAATGGGTCACTGCAACTCTCAAAATGTGTTTTTTCTTCCAGCCAGAATGAAAATGCAACCTTTTGATCATTCTCACAACAGCAGGATTATATAAAAAATATCTGCTTTGGGATCAAAACACGAGAGCAGCCTGGTGCTTGGGTCACTGGCTATGAATTTGCAACATCTACACTCAAACCTCTACTCAGCCTGACTAAGAGCAAAGCTTTTCATTCCAGGTCATTCAGAGTTTTGGTCTCCCTCCACCCAGGCCAGAGTCCTAACCCTAAAAGTAGAGACTCTCTGACCTTGTGCTGAAATCAATACATCTAAATGAAATGTTTTGGTCTACATAAAAGTGTTCCAATCAGTTCTAGATGCAAGATTATTCCTGAAGCTAAGGCACCCAAAATGCACAAACAAAAGATAATAGGGAGGTGTGTAGGCAGAAGGCCACTCAGCTTGACTACTTTTGCTCCAGCTGGGCAGTGGGAGGAAAAGACCCTGAGACAAAGGAAGACTCCAGCCTCAGAATCTGAATTCCCCTTCTCCCTCCCTTCTGGCATGTCCATCTGAATGCCCTTCCCTCCCTACTGGTAAGACAAAGAGGGCAATTTTAAAACATGCTATCGAAGTTCATTATAATATCCCCGAAAACACTGCAAAGTTACTCTTATGAGCTGTTCTATTTTGGACCATTGCTGCAGAACAGGGGTGCTCAACCCCTGGCATGTGGGCCAGATCTGGCCTGCGGGGCACAAACATTTGGTGAGAGGGGAGCAGTGGCAGCATCAATGACCCCTTTCCTACTGTGAAATTTCCAGACCTGAGGGGAGCCCCATAGGCTGGATAACATAGCCCTGCACACACAGCTAGATCTTAGCATGTGGGGCCTGACCCTGCATGGGATCCAGCCTACGAACTGGCCCCACACCACTTATCCATCCCACAGGACCAAAAGGTTGGACGCCACTGCTGTATGCCAGACAATGCAAACCAAATATCAGATAGGATGCTTGGTTTGAGCTTTGTCTCATGTGATCCTGAGGTCCTGCTCTCTGCAGGTAGCATTTGGTGTTAATAAATCACGACAAATTTTGGCTTACCCAAGAGTATGTTGTTCATACTAGCAGGTGGTTCATATTGCACATCAAATCTACCCCATCTCTAATTCAGTTTCATACCAGTTACAACTCCCTTGGCTCTAAAAGCCATCAGCCATATAGATCAAAAACCTTTTTGAATAATGCAGCCAAATTACATCTTCTACATCAGGCTCCCGGCATTATTGCAATATGAACTGTCAACATTACAGCTGGAGAGCTGTTCTCCCATGGAAAACAATCTCACCTCCTAAACACAGACTTCATATTTGCATTGAGGACACTCGATGCTCCATATTTTAACATCTAAATGGTGATTTTTAGTCACAGACAAGAAAGTAAGGTTCACTTACAGGGTCCAGATCGCCCATACACACTGGAAGTTCTCGGATTGTAAGCAAGAGGTCCAACCTTTGGCCTAAATATGGAATTCGACACATCTGTATAGGGCAGAATGGAAACGGAATCAATGGTGAGATAACAGGCCAGCATAGATCGTATTCAAATGTAACGCCAATCTGCCTAGAGACACAGACTTTAAAAATGCTGTTCTCAATTAATGTAAGGCCTTAAAATTTAAGGTATGTTATTGCATGTATAAAATGCATGTGCCAGATGAATGTACAATCTGCACAAATTAGGAAAAGAATCACATGTTTGGCAACAATAAAATTAAAGCCAATGAAACTGCTTTTTTAGAAAATAAAAGAGCCACACCAAGTAAATCCTATTTTTGGAGAGTGGAGGTGGAGGGAGTGTGAAAATCATGATAGGGTTTCATAATATTTGCTCTATTTCTATTTACCCTATCTCTTCTCCCTCCCAAGTGCCTTCTCTTACCCAGAGTCAGGCTGAAATTCAGTGTTAAATTACTATAAAAGAAGAGTAGTTCTAGCATTTTACCCCATCCTGAAAGAGAGAATTCCAGAAACATCACTTTTCTTTACCTCTAACATAAACTGATCAACCACATGAAGCTCAGAAGGAGATCCTTTGAAGGACTGATACATCTCCATGTCTTTTGAAGTAGGCAGATATCTGCAAAAAAAAGACTGGAAACTAGTAGAAGTCTTCTTTCTTCAAATTGTTTGTCCATTCTACACAATGTGACCTTGGTATTAAGTATTTTATTCTACATAGAGAGTTCTAACAGTGGAATGAGAAACTTAAAAGAATCTATGGTCACATATATATCCGGAGATTCTGGATATCAGAGAACTCATTCGTGTAGCCTGGAAAATGACCACCAAGAGATTAATAACATGTTTTCATCCAAAGCTTTTAACCTATTTACAAAGATGGGTTCATGCTATTATCTCCATTTTACAAATAATAAAGCTGAGGTACAGCGAGACTAAGGGCACCATTTTCAAAGGCATCTATTAATCTTGAGTATCTCCATTGTGGGCCCAGTTTGAAGCCATGACCTTATTTTCATAGTTGCCAAGAACTTATAGAAACCTTTGAAATCAGCACCTATGAAAATTAGACTTTGGCTATCTCAAGGTTGAGCACTCAAAATTAGTATAGACATAAGTGACCTGCCCAAGGTAAAACAACGTTGATAACAAAACGGGGGACTGAGTTCAAGTTTTCAGGTTCCTAAATGAGTGGCCTATGATACTCACATGATATTCAATGATACCCCATGGCACTGAAACAAGGGTGACTTACCTGAGAGATGCAAAAAAGTCATTAAGCTGTATGAGTTAAGGCTGAGCATGAAACATTTGTCAGCCATTAAAATACTAGTATCACCAGAGATTAAAAACCAAGAATATCCCAGACCAAGAGTATCCTTCAAGTTTAATAAGTTTAGCCACAGCTACATCCAAAAAATAAATACATTCACAGCACCAAACTACTTGGGTGATATCTTAAGTCTTTTGTTGATCCTGACAACAGTCTGAATTAATAGCCTGTCTCATAGAGGAAAAAATAATACCCATGTTTTACCTAGCATGTGTGGGAAGAAATGTTAAGAATCCTAAACTAGCATCAAATATATTTTCTTTTTTCTCTGCAAACAGCTCATTCAAGTTGGAGCCAGTGTGATTAAACATTCATGGAGATTGGTATACTTTTTATTAGATACATGTTGCTTGCTTGAAAGGTAATAAAACAGCGCAAAATTTAACTCAAAGCTAATTTTACTAAAAAGGGAAAGCAGATTCTTTAGCAGTTTAAATTCAGGACAAACAGTGAAAAAGAAAAAAAAAATCACAGTTGTCAAACTATTTAGCATGATATTTCAGTTGAATAACTGCTGGGTTTCGATTACAAAACAAATATTAGGGCTAGTCATAAAATATCTTCCTCTCAAAGATTTTGAATTTTAATTATGAAAATTTAAAATGTTCAGCCACAACTGGAGTATTTTCAGGTTTTAGTGAAAAAGAATATGTTTTGTGATATATATATATATATAGATATAGATATAGATATCTATATATATAAAATTTAGTTTATATATAAGAAATATAAAAGTATATAATGTATATAATTTTTATATTTTTACATATAAAATAAAACACACTGCAAATATTTTTATTTAGTCAAAAACAAAGTATTTTGTCAAATCTTTTTTGCCCATGCCCGATACACATCCGCATATCTAGAAATTTCCAAGTTTAAAATGTCAAACAATGGAAGCTGTAAGTAAGAAAGTAAAGATTTAACTTTTCAGGGGTAAAGTCACAAAGCTCTTCCAATTGAATACATATATAATTTAGGGAGGGGACAAAACCCTGATGTTTTGCTATTGACTTCCAGAATTCTGGATGAAGAATTCACGGAGATAAATCAGAAACTGTGTCTGGATCAAAAAGAAGACCTATATTTTTCAGATAATATTCACCTGGCTTTACTAGTGCAATTAAAATATATAATATGCCACTTGACATTTTCTTGCATTTGGATTTCGCATTGAGGCTTACACACTGTAACAGGTTTTCTTTCCACAACAGAGAATTCTTCAGAGAAAAATTTCTGAGTCATTGCTAGCTAGGGTCCTGTGATACACACCATATTTCCCAAATATTCAGAGCCATGTTTTCAAAAGAGTGCATTTCCCATTTAGGCACCTAAAATGAAGTGGGCAGATTTTCAAAAGTGCTCACTGTCCTGCAGCTCCCATTGTTCACGATCCATTGTTCTGAAAAGAAACTGCTGAGTGCTGAACACTTTCAAAAATCTGCCCACTTAATTTAGGTGTCTGAATGGGAGATGTAGTATGCGGAGCTGTGAGGGAAATCTGACCCTTGAATTTTGAAATGCATGTTATCTAGTTCAATAACATTTTCAACACTATTTCATATGGGGGAAAATAAGCACTCAAATGCTTTCTTTTCCTCAAGAATTTTGTAAGCGTATTCCTAGGCTCTGACAATACATAAGCACGGAACAGAATCCCTGACCTCGTATAGCATCCAACACCTCGCTCGGCTGTGGCTGTTAGAATAATTCTCTTCACTCTCACCACCACAAAAGCAAGATTTTGAAAGCTAAAAAAGTTCCTATTGCACTTCATTATTATTAGTATTACTACTTAATGAGATAAAGCCCAGCTGGCATAAATAATGGACCTTAAGGTGTTGCACCAATTTAAAGCCAGCAGAAGACATTGGTGTAATTCTGCAGTGGGCTTGACTTCTGAGTATCTGCAGAGAAGCAGGTGTCTGCACACATTCAGCATCATTTTAGGGTGAAGGTATTGTTTAACAGCCAAGGATATAAAAGATGGTTTTATGTCAGTCACTTCTGCCAAGAAATACTCCTTCAGTTTCTTCTTATTGATTCCAGTAGGAGTGAATATCCTTCCAAGAGGAAGGTTAACAGTAGATAACACCTGCAACCAGGTTTGAAGTTTCCCCGAGTACTTTTACAGACTATGCAAGTCAGTAACATTGGTTCAATCTTGCCAGCTTATCATTTGTACTCTTAGGCCCCTGGCTGGTGTTAAATAAATGACATGATTAAGATCAGGGACAAACTTCCCAAACTTTGTGGTTCCTACCATGCCAGACATGAGTGGCAGGAGGCGCAATGTATGGGATGAGGCATAATATTTCTCCAATTTCCTTTGTGCCACTATGGCGCTGTCCCAGCCCAATTATGAGGATCAGAAAGGGGGTGGCTCTGTTGTAGAGCCAGGACTGACCCCAGCCACAAGCTGGTTCAAGACTTGGGGGCCAGGGCTGACAATCAAGATGAGTCATGGGGCTGGTCTGAGACCCAGGACTCTCAACCCTGGCACAAGAACTACCCAGCTGCACACTAAAGGACCTGGGGCACCAGGACCCTGGCATCAGAAAGCTTCTCTCTCCCATTCCATCTCTGCAAGCAGCTTTTTGTCAGCATTGGGAGGAGTGCTACACATTCAATATATGGTGATATATAAGACAGCCACAAAGATGTTCCACATATTTGAACATGTAGTACTGTTACTATTTATGGCATGATTAACATCTTAATCTCACCTTAAATATAATATGTGCCGAGGACCTTATAGATCACCAATTGCATAGTGAGAAAATGCCACAACAGGCAGAAAGTATTTCATTAGAACAAATATGTGGCCAGTGTATACCATGCTCACTATAATGAACAATGGATGAGTAATACCTTCTATTCTTTTTGAATAAGGCCTTTAAAACCAAATTGTGGTGCAATTAGTATCCTTCCATTAACTTGAATGGTGCAAACAATGGGCTCATAGACTGCATAAGAAAGTCATTGGAAGTTTGCACCAGAAAATAAAACACCTTGGAAAAGGTGTCAACGATAAGGGAGAATTGTTGATTGTCTAACTCCATTTATACTGTAGGCCAGCTTTCATTCAAGCTTCACCTGCACAATGTTCTTATTCCACCCGTGCAACACTTTTACGCACTCAGTTCTGAACACGAGACATCATTCCATAAATGTTAGCACTAGTGTTTAATGCAGACAAGTATCCTATGGGATGTTAGGATCTGGACTACAAAGGCCAGATTTAAACCCATTCTCTAACCCTTAAGAGTAGAGTTAAAATGCTTCAGTGCTTACCTCCAACCACATTTTTCTCATGCCCCCCCATTATATAAGCTGCCCATCATTAGTTAACATAAATGCATATTAAGTTTAAGACAGAATGAGCTGAGTGCCAATATTAGACACACATTGGTGTGTATGTTTTACGAGAAAGATTTTCAAAAAGTTGGTAGCCCCACACCATGCGTGCAGGCTACTTAAAATGACACAATTTAGTATCTACATGCTACAGACCTATACCTTGCTTGTGCTCCCTCTAAATATAAGTGATATTTTAAGACATTAAATATTCTGTGTTAATACTTAGTAGCAATAGAGATTGTTGGATTTAAGATGTAGGTGTCCACAAACCCTCTTTTCAGACAAGCCCAGCTGGCCCTCTCCAAATCAAATGACAAACAAAATTCTTCTACTTTGTTGCTTTCGCAAACAAATAATTGATGGGTTCAGCCGTGGTATGGATTCTTCTCTCTGGAGATGGGTAATCCTACTGGTCCAAAACAATATTGTTTTGCTAATTTTACATAGATACTAGCATTGTTTTGCTAATTTTACATAACTGATTGACCTCAAATTATGGCTGACTTGATGTCGCTTCCCCAAACCCTTGGTTTCCTGAAGCTGGCATCAGCGAGAGTAAAGTGGTTGCTGATTTCCTTGTGGAACCATGATGGGGCACTTTTACATGTGCTCCAGGGGTAGGGAGGAGGAAGTGCTGTAGTTAGAGCAGCTCCAAGAGCCGCTCTAATTAAAGTGCCACAGCGTCTCGGGTATCTCCGCACTTCAAAATGGCAGCAGGGGCGCTTGAACTAAAGCTCATTTGACGAACTTTAGTTCAAGTGCTCCCACCACCGTTTCGAAGCACAGGGACACTGATACATGAGACACCGAGGCTGGCTGGAGCACGGCGGTTACCATGCTCCAGCAGACTTGATTAATTGAGTCTTCTCCAATGCACTGTAATTACAACACGTCAGAGCACATCTACAAGGGATAGCAGAGAGTGAAGTTTCTATGTGCAACCTAATTTTCAATGTAAGAACCATGATGCTTCAGGCACTTCCATAAACACTTTATCTGAATTTTATTTAATTTGCAGAAAATGATGCTATTTCCAAAGTTAATATATATCAAACAAACAATTACATTTTAAAAAAAGATTACCTTCTTAGCGCTGCAATCTGCTCATCTGTAAGTCCACCATTCTCTTCATGTAGGATGTACAGTTTTTCTTTCAGCTGGCTTGGTTTTATATGGAAACTTTTAAGAAAAATGTCTATGGAAAAATTATTCTTCAATTACTCACAGAGAAATACACAAGGGAAAGGGAAACACCAGAACATTTCATATTTACTTCCCAGATAAAATTAGTTTCCACTTAATGGACACTAAAAGCTCAAGTGAAACCCAGCCTTTTGTTCTCTAAGTACAAATAGTTGTAGCACATCAAAAATATATTTTGTTTTGTTAAAATGAACTTAATGCATGAGACAGAACATCAAGATACTGTTATCTAAAGACAGTCAAAAGCTTACTATTCAATATTCTTGTTGAACTCAGACTAGTAGTTTGGAATAAAAGTGGCATGTACTTACATCTTTATCTTTAATTTCTTACAATGCTTTGAAGATCAAAGATACTAAACTTTGGTTGGTTGGTTGGTATTTTTTTGAGCTTGCAACAAGTGCTGGATGACATTCCCAGAAACTAAAGTTTATGTGTAAGGGCAAGTTGGAATGCAAGCAATATAACTT